CAGTTGTGTCTTTAAAAATAGGTCCTACTCTTTAAAGATTTTTTTGCTGCTTTACATTAAGTGTATCTCCTTAAAACAATGTTTAGAGGTTTTAGTTCCACACAGCGGATACCTGTAGGCTAGTATAGTTCTACATGTCACTGCATCGCTGTCTACCGAGTGTTTTTTCAAAGCAGGTAGGAAATAGATGAATAAAATCGGTGAACAGTTGTCAAAACAGCCTGAAAAGTGGAAATGACTGTCAGTATTTGGAGGATTAGTATCTGCTACTAGTAGCAGGTGTGGTGGTTGTTGTTCAAGTATTTATCGTTTCCTACTATCCTCATCCTGTATGCTCAGTTCTCTTATTTATAAATATAGATTTTTGGTGCCCATTGTCAATGTATTTTTAACCACGTGCTCTTGTTTAACTTAAGTATATATATTTCTGCTTTTATTCAGTGTTGACGATTGTACATACTGATTCTACACCAAAAATATCTCTTGGGTTGTTTAAGTGCTCCAGAATTCGTACCTGTGTCTGAGGAGAGTGTTACGGGCATTAACTGTTTTGTAGATAAATATATTTTAATCTTACAAGATCTCAAGCTGCACTGAAGCAATCTGCGTTCTGTATGTAGAGGTGATCTGTACGAACAAGTTGCAGGGTTAGGCATAAAATTGTGAATGAAGCTATTCAGTGTCTGAAGGAGAAGAAATAGAAGTAGATGTTTGTTTCAAAGGAGGAGGAGATGTTTAGATTGTGCGATGCTTTTGTTTTAATATGATAATGAAAATAAAAAATGCATTTTTCATTTTACAGTCATAATTACATCAATATTGCTGCTTACTGTATTTCTTCAAATCCAGTTTAACATTTTATCTGGTATGTGTTCTACGTTGTAGATGCTGAAATCTTCATCTAAGGAGAAATACCCCTTGTTTACTTTTGTAAAGGGTCATTCTAGAGACTATGACTTTGCTTCCAGTCCACTCCGTGAAGAAAATGACCTTTTCTCTGAGGATGAAAAGAAAAGATTAAAAAGATTTAGTACAGAGGAGTTTGTCTTGCTTTAAGGACATTTTACACTAGATTATTGGCAGCTGTCCAGGAGAACACTTGTCTTTTTTTTTTTTTTTTTTAAAATAATAATAATAGTTCTTCTCTTCCAGAAAGGCTAGCTGTGCTGAAATTGGTCTATTTTCATAAAGATGATAATGTTTTATATGTTAATAGTCTTTAAAATGTCATTTATAAATGTACTTACTAATTATTTTTGTTCACTACTAGTTGGATGAGTGTAATGTCGCATCGTGCTAGTGAAGATAGATGGCATTGTTTAGAGGCAGGTGTGCTGAAATGTGCCTGCGTCCTGGTCTCGCCCTCTGAAAAAGCTGGGCTGGCCGTAAGCCTGAACGTGATCCTAGGGTTGTTTCGGTCCAGGACAAATCCTGAGCAGAGGCTGTCAAATACGTGTTGGTTTTATGTCATGGGCACATCTCTGTGGGTTTTGAGACCATCTTATTTCTGTTTGTAAGCAAAATTTGAGTAATTCTTGTTGTAAGGGTAGAACTCTAACCTGTTTCACTTCCTAAGCCCAAATAATAGTTAATGTGGTAATTGCAACATACCTCTCTTCCACTGCGCTGCCCAGGATGTAAGTTTGATATATCAGAAGTAATTGCCAGTTGCAATACTGATATAATTATATAGGCTGAATTGTGAGTTAAGATACTATTTAGCAGTATGATTTTATAATGGTGTCTCATTAAGCCAGCTTTGGAACCTTAATTTGAGGAGTGAAGATAAAGTATTACCTTGCCCCACAATTTTTAAAGGTTATACTATTAAATTAACTGCAACCAATCAAAGCAGCTAAAAACAATTATTAGAAAGGAGTGGTGTTTGTTTCCTGTTTCAGCTATTATAATGTTGAGGCTTCTTTCCTACTAGCGCAGCTTTTAGATCAAAGCAAATGGGGTCTGGATATTTAAAATTTTGGGGTGTGAATTATTTTTTTTGATATGTTATTACTGTACAAATGATTACTTGATGGTGTGTGTTCTCAAACTGCAAAGAAATGTACATAAATAGTTCTGTGTTTTAACAAATGCAATATTTAAACTATGTATTAACACTGCTTGGAAAATAAAAGGTGTGAAAACATTAACTGCATGTGCCTCCTTTATTAATACCAGGTCCTCTAAAAGTGAATGTAATGCCCACATCTAAAAAAAAATAATTAAGGTGCAAATACTCTGTTTATGTGTAATAAAGACAAATTTAATTGTTGTGTTGTAAACCAAATGTTAACCCATTCTAAGTGCCATTCAGGCATAGAAGACACAAATCTGATGCTTATTTGGATAGATAATGTGTACACATTAAAAAAGCTTATTTTCTGAGAAAAAAAGTGACTAACAGCTAGATGTCAGGCAGAACTAAATCATATGTACATGTCAGAGCTGGGGTGTGCATCTTCAGGTGTTAATTGAATTAATATTCTGAAAAGCCAAAATGAGATTATTTGTGGTTTCACTCGTTCTCAGGAAAAACAAACAAACAAAACAACAACAGCAGAAACCACATTTGTCTGAATTAGTAACCTCTGCACTGTTAAATCACACTAATAATTGGCACGGTATTCTTACATGCTGCATGTGTATGTGAGGGTGTTCGGATTGGATCTTAGTATTTTCCATTAATAGCCCAGAAGAGGGAGTAAACAACATATTTATGGAATTTAGATGTCAAAAGGAGGGGAATTGTGAATGTCAGTGAGAACCAGAAAATAGAAGACTTCTGTTTAGTGAAGCTCAAGTTAATGTAGCTCTAGCAAAAATAATGCAAAAGTGTCAAGTGGTTCCTTTGGGTAACAGTGGAGAGGAAATTACACACAAAGTTGTACTTTGCTTTCCCATTTAAGAACCAAAAATGCAGTTCTATGCTGCATCACTAAAAGCTGTCACGGAGCGGGGGGATACATTTGGCATAATCTGGTCTCACTGATGCTCTCCTGTCTGCTTACCTTTCCGTGAGGAAGGCATTAACTAATTAAAGGTCGCAGAAGAACAGTAAAAATGATCGGGAGCCTGCAGGGACAGATTTAAGGAAGATAAACTCGGAGCTCTGGGCCTTTGGTAGGCTGTGGCTGAAGAGAGCTCGGGGTGAGAGGGAAGCAGGACAGTTTACAAATGCACGCTCTGCCTGCACTGCTGAGGAGGAGTTGGAGGGAACGGCAAGAGGCCGTACATCTTCAGCAGAGGGGAAGACAGCCAAGGAAAAGCTTCCTAGAGGGGAATGCCAGGCTGTGTGCTACTCACACAGCAGTGTCAGAAGTCTTCCCGTGTCAGGCTGTTCAGAAGCAGACTGGCCCAAAGGCTAACAAATGCACAGTAAAGAGCAATCCTGCATTCAGCACATTAGTTGAATCAATAACGTCTTTCCCATTTACAACTTCTGTTGTTGTAGTAATAATAATAAAATGTAATAAGCTCCAGAGGCTTTAAAGCACGGGAGTCTACAATATGTGTAATGAAGTTGAGAGCAGCCCTCAGTTTTGTAAAACACAGAAAAATAGAGAGTTGTGCACTGGGCTTTTCCCTGATGGTGTGTTGTTGAAAATGCCAGAACCTGCACAACACCACTATCCATCTTTTTTCACTCCAGACCTACACAGAGGCCTGTGACCCCTTGGGGTTTAACCTCACAGCCTTGCAGGGACAAGCCCAGAGGCTGGAGGCTGGGGGAGGTCGGGCTGCTGCCGTGCAGCCCCCTGAGCTCACACTGAGGCCCAGCTGAGACCACAAGGCCTGGCTGAGACCCATCCTTTGCAAGTTTTCCATGCCCAGGCCTTTGTACCCATTGACCTGCCTTACGCTCACACACAGACCATGGAGATCTTTGACCCCAGCTGGGAGCCAAAGGATTTATTTCCCCTTTTCCTCAGCTCCACTGGCTGAAGTTCAGGTACCTCCAAAAATCCCACGTGCACATACCACCGAAGCTAGCTCTGTCTTTGGAAATGCGCTGCTAATAAAAGGGCTTTTGGTTTGGTACTGCTGTAATAGGAATGGTCAAATGGAAATATAAGAGCTAGGGTATATGTGTTAAAAAGAAAAATGTAATTCTACCACCCCAACAGCAAACTTATCTGTAAGGGAGAAATAGTTTCATTTGTCTCAGCCCTCTTGCAACTTGTTCATAAAGAAACATAACGGTTGAAAACCATTGCTAAATTTAAATAGTTTTTTTTTTTTTTTTTTTTTTCCTTTTAAAACTAAAGGCAAGATTTCACTGCTGGAACAGCTGCCATTGTTCAGTGTGGTGCTTCCTTAATCTGTTACCAAATCCTTTTGTTTACCACAGTGCCATTTTATTTGAAGCCAGCTATAAGTGGCTGATAAAACTAATAGCTATTTTCAGTTGTGTTTTTTTTCCAAGTTTCTCATACAAGACTTGGTGTAGACAAGCCCACAAGTTGCCCTGGTGCTGAAGATCCATGTACAGTGGTGACACAAGTTAAATTACCAAGTTACTAGAAATTAATGTTTTTCAGTAACTACAGGGGACTTTAATTGGAAACTATGTTAATCGCATAGTAATTCTCTTTACCTCGTCTGCATTATCTCCTGAAAACTGTGCAATTAATTTGTGTCATCACTGTTGCTGCTGCTGCCTTCAAACACAAACCAAATGAGCATTAGTTACTCACACACCCAGCAGTGGCCTATTTCCTTAAAGGACTGCCGCGAATCACTGACTGATGACTCGCTGGCCTGACTGAACCAGACTGCACGTACCCCAGAAGGTGGCAAATAGTTGTTCTTTGCAGAGAAGTCTGATCTTGAATCACCTAATTACCTTTCTTTGTGTGTTTATAATACCTAATATTAGCTTGACACTAATATTAGCAGCCCTAGGACACTAAATGAGTAGCTGGGACTCTTTCTTCCCCTTCTCAGAAATATACTGGCCCTATTTTGTGAGACTGCAGGGTTCCCCTTGACTTGCCTCTCACTGACCAGTGAGCAAAGCCTGTCATGCTTCCCGATCTGCAGGTGAAGGTGCTCGGGGTTGTCCCTCCCTGCTGCGGCTGGGACTGAAGTGTGGGTAGTCCACAGGGTGCAGCACAAAGGACCTCAAGGCCGTCACCCAGTCAGAGCCCATTTGTGGCCACCAGTAGAGTTCCTTGCTGGTGTTGCCTCTTCTTAAAGGCCTGGTTCTCCTCTTGTTGGTCCCCAGTGCTCCTGCAGTTATGGAAAACTGAGGCTTCCCTAATTTGATCCTGAAGGTCTCAAAGCAGCTCCGCTCCTGTGGGTACAGCAAGATGGAGTCCACCCAGCACATTTCTCACTTGGCAGTTATGTTATCCCCCTAGACTAATGAGCCACCCCTCTACAACAACTTAATTAGGCAACCATAAGAACGACGTGAAGGCAGCTCTTTTATTTCCTACAGGTGCAGCAGCAACTGCAGGTGAAGGTGACCCCAGGCATCCCCAAGCCTGGTTTTTAAGGCCAACATTGTCTTCGTGCTCTGGCAAGACCCACTCTTCCTTAATCCTGGCAAAAGGCACAAACATGTGAAGTGTGGACCTGCTGCTGGTGAGTTCGCTGCTCCCCAAGGAGTCGACACAACCTTGGGCTTCTGAGAGGACGCAGCAAGTAGGCCCGGCTGCCAGCAGGGCGCCATGTTCCTTGGGTAGAGCAGCAACAAGTGGTTGTTCTACGTACCCCGACTGCCACTTAAATATCACTTTTGTTTATCAGTATGAGAATTCAGCTGGAAAACTGAAAAAGTGAGAGTGGATGGGACTGAAGGAATCCCAGACCCATCCCGAGTACTCCCTGGCCGTGCCTGGGCCCTGCACGAGGACACCAACAGCCTTTGCCCTGGTTTCTGCCTTGCCCTTGGCTTGCAAATTTCTTATCTTCACGGAAATCTTTTCTAGTTTTGTTTTTTGTTTTGCTTTTATTTTAACTTAACCCTCTAAATCAAGAAGTTCTGGTAATGGAAAGCAGGCTAGTGTGTCTGTTAGGCATGGTGCAGCAGTGGATTTGGGGATGCAGGGAGGGTCTCTTCCTATTTGCCATTAATTACAGTAAGAAAGTGGACTCACTCTGGAGAGCTGATTTATTTCCAGAGTTATTGACAATCGCTTAAACCAATGATGGAATGAAAAGCAAGCGTGAGTTATGAAAGGTCAATAATACCACAAACGAATACAAACAGCACATCTGAAATCCAGCCCACCCTGCTTTCTGCTCATGAAACATTTTCATCCCAGGTGACACGGGTGGACAGCTTTTTGGTGAGGCTGAAGCAGCAGCTCTTCTTGTGCTACCAGGAGCCTCCAAGGGGGCAGAATATGCCAGATAACTTTGTGGTCTTGCTGTGCATCATTTGGGAGCATGGCTGCAATCTTTCTTAGTGCTTGGAGCACATTTCCCTCATCCTGTGCCGAGGGCTGCGGATCACAGTTGGGTGGAAATGGCACAGCAGCACTCCTGCTGAGCACTCCTGTGCCATCCCTTTGGCCAGCCCCTGCTAGACTCTAGCTGCTTCCCAGTGTAAAACCGTGTTACAGCCTGGTGCCACCTTGGTTAGACAATACCACGTCATGTAAAGGAGGTCGTAAAATGCTGGTAACTTATCTCCACTGCCAACAAGATGTAAAAAGGCATTTGTGTGAGTCAGGATTGAGCCCTGAGTAATCATCATTTGACCGTATGACTGGTTATCTTCATGAGATGATTTCTGTTGCCTAATTGAGGCTAACTGAGCTTTATAAACAGTTCCCTTCCCTGTTTGTAAGCAGTTCACGGGCAGCTGTAATTGTTTGAATCCACAGTGTGAATAGCAAAAAGAGCTTTACTTAATGACTGCAGAAGCCCTTCTTGTGTGAGAGCTCTCTGGTATTTATTTACACCAGAATTCACGACGCTTTTGTTTTCTATGAACGCTCCTGCAAATAAAAACTTGCTCACTCTAATGTTTATGAATAAATGTGGTCGTAAATGCCATCAAAGCAAATCAGCAGGGTTTTATTTATGCAAGAAGATGCACAAATAAATGTTTGCTGTTTTCACCTAGCGCTAGTGGGTGTGCAGGCATGTGTTAAAACCAAGGCTTTGTGCATTTTCCCCTCAGCATTCACACATTAGTCTTATTTTCCACCCACTCCTTTCTTACACTCTGATCCTGCCAACGAATCGCCATGTCCCAAGGGAACATTATTAAAGTCAATATTTTAGGTATTTATCCACACCCGTCAGTTTGCTGGGTCAGTGGATAAGGTCACCCAGGGTAACAGGACCCCAGGACTGGGACTGGACTCTTGTCCCTGTCCCCAGGCAAACAAGAGGCAAAGGTAACTGCAGGGCCATGCTGGTCTCGATGTGGCACACAGCATATGCCCACAGCTTCTTTACTGATGTGGGCTGACTTGTGGAGCAAGGTGGCTTGGGTTTTGTCTTACCTGGAAGAAGCGGGGGAGGTTATTGCCACCCTGTCTCAATCAGTGCCCTAATTAAGCCTAGGAGAGGATTTTCTTTCTAAAACGTAAATGTCAACTTCTGTTAAAGAAAATTAAAACACAATGAAATTGACGTGGCAGAAACTGTGGAGGTGCTTAAAGAGTCTACATTTTTTAGAAGAGGAAGTAGAAAAAGAAGTATTTTCTCTTGTGGATTATTGTTCCTCCAACAAGCACAAATCTAGTGAAGCACTTCATACTGTTGGTGAAAAAACACAGCCAACCTGTTCTCCTAAATTGCTGTGCAATAAACTAATCAGAGATCAGTCCTTAGGCTGAGTCCTTGCAAGGTACTTTCAGAATATAAGGAAGTTATGGAGGTTCATAAAGTGCCCCTCAAAACCTGCCATTAGGTTCTGGTTCCAGTGGTAGAGTCTATGCCCTGGCCTCTACAAATGAAAAATGAATATATTCTGAGACTCACCTCTTTCCAGGATTCATTTGTAAATTCCCTCTCTGTTACCAAGATCTTTCAGGATTTTGTGCTGGCCATACTTTCAGGGGGCTGGACTTGAAGATGCAGGTTGTTCCCTTCCATGCCCTTGCTCCCTAGAGATCAAAGCAGCAGAGCACAGTAGCACAGAAATTAAAAAAATCTACACTCAGTAATATGATAACCCCCACTTACAAATAACACTATATAAAGGCATCTGACTCCTTCAAGCTGCAGAGAGCCATAATCAGAAGTACAAATCTGAACTTTGCAACTCTGCAGTAGCCCAAAACAAAGTCCTAGATACAGATGCATTAAGATGGAGAGTTCAAACAGAAAACTGTTGTGTTTTTTTTCAGAGGTTCACGGAGAAAGAGATTCAGCTGATCACAGAGAGACACTTCCACTATGAACTGTGATCTCAACAGGATCAAGGTCAAAACCTCAGTTCAGACACTTTTCTGCCTCCCCTAAAGCAGGTGAGAGGACAATCTGTTTTATAGCAATGAGGAAACACAGAATAAAGCACTTGTCAAATACAACAAGCTCATGTCTTTGCAAATATATGAAGTGCTTTGGCTTTCACAGTTCAACCAGTGGTTTGTTGTTTTCATGCTAATACAAATTCTTGTATTAATAGGAGCATGGCCTCGGGTTTCTCCATCCGTATGGGAAAAAGTTACTTGTCTGATGGTAAACAAAGAATAGAAGAATTGATTCACTGTCTTCACTTTAAAAAAGATGGTATGAAGCAATAGTGAAGCAATTTTAATTGTGACTGTGTAACACTTGCAATCAGTAAGATCATTTGTGTTCTGTTTTTAGGAATCGGGGTACTACAGAGTACATACAGCATTAGAAATGCAAAACATGACCGCATGTTCTCAGGATTTTGTCAGTGTTACATGAAAGAGCACTTGTGCTGGGATGCTCAACTCTGAGGGTATTCTCTGTTCAGTGTGTATTTACAGAGATGTATGAATATTTGATTAATGAGTCATGGTCTCTGGAGAAATTTAATAACTGTACTGCTGTACAAAGCCAGCTCCTTAACTGTTAACACAGCTGCCAATAGTGTCACTGACACTGAAGCCCTTTCTGCATCTAATATATTCGGTGGAGTAAATTCCTTCGTTACAAGAGAATCCATGGGACACATTATTCAGTTATCTGTTTTGAACTGTTGCAGGCTCAATTTACAGACCCTGATTTGTAAAGATTTTTCCAATGGAAACAAGCAGTGACACATGAGCCATAAAGCAGCAGTTTCATGAGGCTATGTTGTTACAAAAGTTAGCTGGAAGGTCAGTTATAAAGAAGAGCTGCTTTAAAAAATCTGGTGTGCTTGATCGTACAGTAGGTGTTAGCATTGTCCAAATTTCTGTTTTCATCAAATATATTTATAATATACGGTTACAGCATATTCAATATGTTGATGAAATAAAAATCATCAAAGCTGTGCACGTGCCTTATATTTGTGTAATACAGTTTATAAAATGTAAAATGAAAAATAGGTGAACGTATCAAAGTGTGGCAGACTGATCTGGCAAATTCTGACATCCTGGAAAAGTGAGGAAAGATTGTTCAGGGCCACCCGATTTGTAGGATGGGCAGAAGTTTGTTCCCCTCCATGATACCAGACCCAAAGTGTTACTCATTTTTTGCTGAGCAGTTTCCCAAGAATAATTCACCGCTAATTTTATAATTTCTCCATTTTTATTCCTAATACCTGTGAAGAGATCAATTTTCACTTATGAAGTTAGGTGTATATTTTAGTGGTGTTACTGCAGTTCAACTGCTTTAAATAATAGGGGAAAATGTCAAAAAAAGATAAATTTAGTGCAGAGGCTTTCACTGGAAGCTTTAACTGCAGGTTAGAATTATACATGCTATGCAGAATTTCCTGCAACACTTCTCCTTAGGGCCACAATGCATTACAGCAGACGTATAATGAAGCTGCTATAAAATCCGTGGTAATTAAGGGGGATTTGACAGTAATTGCAACAGTGAATCAACTTAATTATTACCTGCTTCAAAGAGAGCTAACCTGATGTTATAATCTAACCTTTCCTACTTCTAAAATGAGAGATTAAACAAGTATATGTAGCATTTAAGAATTAAATCTGTTGAGATAGAATTCTATTAATATACTTTTTATATACATTTTATGTATGTGTGTATGTAAGTACAGAGCAGCTAAGCGAAGAGCACCGTTAGCTGACAAACTGCAGATACGCTGACTGTATGCATTCATAAAATAAACAGAACCTGGTCTGCATCTCCGAGGCAAAGCAGCCTCTCTGTTATCTGCTGAAAGCGTGGGGACCTACAGAGAGACCCTTGCTATAAAACACTACGACACACATAAGCCTAGTTCCTTGAATGGCCTTGTAAAGGGGATGTGATGAATGTATTGTCTTTCTCTGCTTAATTTTAAGCAAACTAGTCTGAAATACATCTAAGGTGTGCTGTAAAGCTGCAGAAATGAGAGGCTGCTCGGGGTGTTTGTAGCCTTGCCATTCACAACCTTGGTGTAGCTCCAGCAAGGAACCCTTTCCAGGAGCATGCAGAACTGGAGGCTCAGTGTCACACAGCAGGTTCTCCTTTGTCCAAAATTGGCTTGCTGCTTTTCAGTGACCTGCCCTTGAACTAAAAAGAAGCTTCTTATAATCTCTTTCAATTGTTTTGAAACTGAGAGCAGGACTAGAGAGCTCTATGGCTTACAGAGCAGTGAAGTCCAAACCTCCAGGTGCTTCTTACCCGGCTTTCAGTCATCAGAAATACGAGTGAGAAAGGAGCCTAACATAACATTGGTCTAATCAATTCTGGCATGATCAATTTTGCTTTTTCAACTACAGCATCAGGGATACTGAACCTCACGTTGCTCACTCTGGGCCTATCGGATGAGCCCATAAATACGATCACCCCCTTTGCCTCTATCTTCAGAGCTTTTGACTCGTGTCACCTGAAAGCAGGGGGTCACCAGGACATCACCAGTCCATAGCTCTCAAAACTCCTCTGCAGGCTGGTACATGCAGCACCACGTCCACAGCATGTGCACTGCAACAGAAGCGCTCTGGAAGAGAAGATGTGAAATGAAACACCAGCTGCAAAACATGAGAGAAGCAGGCACCATCCTCATCTTCGTGAAAACTCACCACATCAACTTGCACATGAGGTTCATGTGCAAAACAGACAAAATTAGCTTCAACTCTGCTCCGAGGAGGGGCTTGAGAGTCCAGGAGCAGCACCGAGGGACTGACTCATCCCTGCCCTTACAATAAATTTGCCAATGTTTACTTCTTCTTGCTTTGTTGTGAAACAATAAATTAGAGAGACTTCTTGTTTGTTTTTTGTGTTCTGGCCCATAACACGCTACTATTAATAACTAATTTTTATTACTATGGGCCTCAATTTTCAGAGAGTTAACATTGAATGGGCAAATATTGAACAGAGAATTATGTTTTTACTATTATTATTCTGTTGTTAAAGATGCCACCTCCCATGAATGTGTAATTTAGCTGTATGGCAAGAACAAAGTCTGTCACTGCATTAAGCCAAAACCAACCTGTCCTTAGGATGCACTATTAGAAGATTACAGCCGTTGAGTCTGTCTTAAAATAAACTTGAAAGTCTGCCAGGCTTCGGGATAGTGTTGTGCAGTACAACTGGTGGAAAAAGCCAACTCAGCTTGTCAGGTATAAAAATCTTACTCTACTGCTGGCCTTGTGATTGGAACTTACAAATAAATATCAAACTTGCAGAGGAGAGCAGGCTGTGATTTCTCTTCAGGCATGGACCATCTAACCTCGCCATTGATAACTACACCTGTAGACTGCAGATGCCTCAAGGTACCTGGCAATTAATCGAGGGACACATGCCCAAAGAGCATCTCTCATCTGCATCTAGCACTGAGGCTTCATTTGGCTAAACATCCCTTTCTGAAAACAGCAAGGGATCACCTTCAGTGTCTGTTATTCAGTAAAGGATAAGGCACTTCAGACTCAGGCTCTGTCTGGACAAGCCAAACACCTCTGCTCTGCCCTCCACCAAACATGCTTGTGTCCCTCGGTGAGGAGGCCCTTTGTGACATTAGCAGCAATGTACTTCCAGGGCGATATTTATCCACGAAGCGCTGCTGCTTATGATCATTAACTGCTTTCAGGTGCCATAGATAATTGGCATTTAAATATCCAGATAAACAATTGCTCCTTCCTTCCACAGTCCCCAGGCAATGATATGTCTCTCGTTGTGTGCACCCAGGATGTTTTCTCCCAGGCGCTGACTCCAGCATCTCTCTGGTCTCTGTTAGCTCCCTGATCCCTCCTGCAGCCATCCCGACTGAGGCACCCAAGTGCTCCCAGCAAGCAGCCCCTCTGCAGGCACCTAAAACTTGAAGCTCTGACCCTCCTAGCACTCCCTCCTGCTTGTTATGTGCCTAACATCAGGAAGGCAGCAGCATGTCCAGGGCTGTGCTCCCTGCAGCCACCTACCCGTGCATCCTCCTGCCTGGAAGCTGCTGGAGCACGATCCAAGCTGAGCACTTGTCATGAGCCTACCAGGCGCTGTCATTCTGGTGGCACCAGTGGCCTTCTGCTTGTATGTACACAGAGGAAACAGCAGACTTTAAATAACAAATTTTCACTGATGCCTTTTGCTATCTTTACAACGCATTTTAAAATAAATGAGAGATTAACACAGGGAAAAAGTACTTAAGGTGCATGCTCAGTAACTATTTTTTCATAACGTTTTAATGGATTCAGGGTTGAGCTCCACTAAAATCTGGATTTATTAGAAACGCTCTATGCATTTCAATGGAGTTTTCCTCATGAATCTAGATATTTTACATTATTTCAATAGAGCTGACCCTCTGATTCATTAGAAATGCTTCAATATAACCAATGGAGCATTTCTAATGATTCTGGTTTTACAGCAAATCCAAGGGTCAGCTGTACTGAAAACAATAGTGCTAACCTCTAGGTTTATTAGAAAAATGCTTTGTGTCTCAATGGAGCATTTCTAATAAATCAGATAAATAGGGATCTCCCAGAAAAATGCTCTACTGGTGAAATAGACAAATGGATTTGTTATTTTTTGAGATCCTTTAAAAACAACGATTGTTTAATAGGCTTCTTTGGTTGTTCATTCCAGTGTAATCCGCTCCTACCTGGAGTTTAGCTCTTCAATGTTAAAAACTTAGTAAATATCCTTGGCAGTGCCATCTGGTTGAGCAACAAGCACTCCTGTTTCAAACCATCAAGTGTTTTTCACTTCACTAAAGAAGAAATGAAGGCATGGTGGCTTGCATGGTGTGGGAGCTGTAGATGCCAGATCTGGGTTTTGTGCTGGGACATGTCCCTTCGCTCTCTGCTCGCTGCCTCTGCCATAGGGACAGGGAGGAAGGGTGGGTGATAAAAGAGCTCAGCAGCAGGTATCGCCAATCATCCCCTACTATGGGTGCACACAAAATTTAACTGCAGAATATGACACTGAGGTTTTTAGACCTTTAATTAATTTATTTTTTTAAACTTCTCTTCTGAAGGTCTTCTGATTCCAGAGAAAAAGTTGTCATGGTCCACCAGGTAAAGCCATAAAAGACCAAAAAGCAACTCTCACACAAACCATCTCAACAGGCCTCTTCCCACTGACCTGAGTCCACTTGCAGCTCATCGTGTAGAAGCTGCAGCTCTTGAGCCAAAACTGCAGACACCCATCAGCAGCAGCTCCCTTTGGATCATCTTCCACTGGGACTCCAGAAGCTGCAGGCAGGCTCTGCTGGCACTCCCAGCTCCAGCCAGGAGGAGTAAATGGCTGTGCTGGGGATGCAGAAAGCTCCTCGGAAAGCTGAGGCAATGCTTTCTGTTTAAGAGGAAAGGCCAGTGAGGTAATTTCAATGACTCCAGATTTGGTTAGAATGATCCATATTTATTGAGTGTACTCTGTGCTGTCCAGATATTTCCCTGCGGTTCAACTGCTGCACATAAACCACAGTTACAGATCTGGGTTCCCATGGTCTCTCCGGGTGAATTGCAAATCCTTGGCTAGAAGCCACTTTGTCTCACTTTGAGCACTTTTCTAGTCCCCTTTACTACCCAGCAACTTCAAGAAATCTGCTGACCAGTTTCTCTGAAAACCTAAAAATAAAACATGCTGCAGTGGTGACAAATCCACAAAAACAGAAACTCCACTTTAAAAATGATTTGTGTCTGAGTGTGTGTGCGTGTTTGTGTTTTTTTTTTCTTCCCCGAAAATTGATCAAGTCACACAGGAGTCAAACAGAAGGAATTTTACCTATGGGATGCTGGACATCTGCCCTTCTGCCTGGTGCTTGAATACAGGATTGTTTTGTTGCCTGAGTGTGGGAAGATGCTGAACCTGTCTGCTCGAGTTCCTGCGAGTACCCCGTCAGGGTTAGGGGTCTGTGACCACCACGGATTTCCCTGTCTTGTGGTTTCTTCCATAACATGAGTTAATGCTGATAGCAAAATTGTCCTCTATTGATAAGCAAGTTTTTTAGCAGAAATCCCAGGTCTGGGGGGGAGTCTGCTCGGTCAGAGGGATTATAGCAAAAACATCACTGGGATTTCAAGAGTCTTCCTACCCCAGAGGCACTGGCAATATCACCACCAGGCAACCTCCTCCCCCTACCCGCTCCAATGAGATACAGCAGTTTATCATGTCAAGCCTTGCTGCTGAGTGCTGTGTCTAGGGCCTCTGGCTGTCAGAGGCAGGATTTCATCTTGGGGTCCCTAAGGCCATATAGAAAGCCTAAAATGTTCATTTATGTTTCTTATTGTCTGGCCAAATCTGTGTGTGCTTAAAAAATATCCAGAAGTTTAAAGGCTGATCCCTGCATTATTGTGGCTTAGAAATTTACTTGGTATTTTAAAAAGTTAAATACATTTCCTAAATAGCAATGCCTTTTCGGCTCTTAGTTATTTTACATAAACTGTTTAGCTATGAAATGTTTCCTCCTGCGCCGTTAATTTCTGAGATCAATCTCTCCCATTACAGTTTAGCAAAGCAGCTCCATTAAAGACAAATATTGCTATATAGGTCTAATGCAGAGATATCTGTAGAGATGTATGTGCAGCGCATGCGTATTTAGGCGTACAGGAATTAGTACCTGTTTATCAGAATTTACATATGTTTGTGTGCATGTGTGCCATAGTCAGTATTCCGATAATAATCACTGTGGGCTTATGTGTTAATAATGTGCGTAGATTTATGTGTTTTATATACATGCAGTGTATCCGTAGAGCCATAACTTAATCTGCTGCTCAGAATTTATCTCGGCTTTCCACATGAGCTCTTTTAAACAATGCTAATTGTTTCAGAACCAAAATCATTGATGATAACTCTTTTAGGAATTGTCATGTTGTCTATAAATATTTAGCGACTGGATTGCATTTGCCAATGTAGTCCTGTATTACAGATGAAAAGGTAGCATCTGCCGAAATTAAAAGTGGCCACATTTTCGCTGTAGCTTAATTAAATGCCAAAATTTATCTACATTAACAACAAAGTGGTGAAATTTATTGATCAATTCACATGATATAAGTTGACAAATGGCCTGAGCAATTTCCATAATTTTCTACACGTGTTAAAATTTGTAATGAAAAAAGAATACTATATTAACATTAAATGTGAAATGAAAGGGGGATTTTGTAATGGGAGCGGGTGCCCTGGGGCAGTAAGCTGTGTTTTCCATGCCCTGTCCAGGCCGAGGCTGTTTGAGCTGTGTACAGATGGGCCTTTGACAGTCCTACAGCTGTTCTCCTAATTGTCCATTAAGTGTTCTATTGATTCTCTGATTCAAAGTACATGTCTTTCAGCTCAAGCTATCGTGTGAAGTGGCAGACACATTCCTCGTAGAATGACAGAGCTGCTTGAAACCTAAAAATGTGGGCTGCCAGTTTCAATTGAGGATCCGGCTTTCAAAGGGGAAGGCTTGGTTAAAGGAGCTTTGTAATAGCTGGTTGGATTTTAGTTTCTAAACTTTTAGCATCAATCAATTAAAGCAGCAGCAGCAGCATGGAAAGTTTTAATTCCTAGTTAAGCATTACAGCTCTCACCTCGCTGCTAAAGTCCTTCCTGAGGATAGTAGGTTGCAATGAGAAGGATTAGATCTTGTTTAGCTGTATGCAGAGTTATTTTTTTTTAAGACCCTCTGACACATGTAACGATATTCTCATTTGACTTGCAAGTTCACTTTTAGCATTTTTTTTTAAAGGAAGATCATCTGCAATTCCAGATTATGCCAGTCAGGAGCCTGTTTAAAATCATCTCTCTTTAATCTGAAGACTGAAGGATAAGATGCATATCTGTTGCAAGGACCATAAATCTTCAAAGAAACAAATAGCCATAGATAAAACTGTAAAAGTTATTTAGTTCTCTTCCGAAAGAGGTTTATTAATCTAAAATTTCCAGTCCATTGTGTCATGATTTGGTTGCCGCACTGTATCTCATTTCTTGCAATCGTATAAGCCTTGTGTTTCAAGCAACGAGATGAGATCCTTATAGTTTGAACATGATCAATTGTATTCAGACGTATCACTGGTGCTAGGAATAAAATAAATAAATAGAAACAAAAAATAGCCAGTTGAACACAGACTTGGGACGTGAATGATTTTTTTATTCAGAATGTTTTGTCTTATTTTACTGAGGTGTGTATGAACTGATTTGATTATTAAATTTACACTGAATTTTAAATTCATGTTTGTTTGGCTTTTCAAAGCGTAATTCCTGATAGAAAGCACACAAACAAACTGTTTATAGACTTACTACTTGGGAACCATCCGCAGTAGTTGTGCACAAAACGAGCTTTTCCCATATAATGTCAGTTCCATCTGCCTTTATATTTTTCTTTTAAAACATCCCCATCATCTAAATGAGACATGAAACTGTTTCCGATAAAGCTTAAAATAAAGAGAATTATTTCTCTTCAAGAAGAGTTTTATCCTTTATAGTTAATGAAAAACCACTCTCCTGTGAATGTTTAAGATCTGCTTGTTCTTTAATCACCTCCTTCCACCATTGCTCGTGTTAGTTTTTGCACCCCAGCCACCTTTGTGTGGTTGCACTGCTGATGAGCTTTACCTCCTGATCCCTCCGAGTGGCGATTCAGGAGTCCGATTCACCAACATGGAGGCTAACAGATGACTTCCACCCATCAATCAAATTAGTTACAGCCTTTTAATTTAAACAAGAAGCTTGCTAATTTGAACGGAATTAGGGTTTTTGTTTTGTTTTTGTTTTTAACCTTACCTTGTTTGTCTTTGGGACATCAAATATACAAGCATCAGGAATGTTTAATCCTAAGTGAACCAACTAGGTGGGGATTCTAAGAATACAACCAAAATTTCTACTAATGCATCAAAGGTTGACAAAGATGAAAAAAGAAAAAGGAAAAAAAGGAAAAAAAGAAAAAGTGTGTGTAGGAGAGGAGATGCATTTCACATTTTATAACCAGAGTTTTCCTCCCTGCTCAATAAAAAGGAGTGTGTGTCAAATTAGAGAAGTAGTGCAGCAAGCTGTACAACATTACATGGTGCCTTTTGTCATTTTAGGAATGCAAGTTTAGGGTTTGAGGCATAGGCCACTAAAAATGCCTTATGTCAAGGAGACAGTAACCACCCAGTTGTTTTCACCATTGAAAAAGGAAAGTGAGAAGTCTCTTTACTTGAATAAACTATATATTGATACCTGCAAAACATTTTGTGGATCTACTTTGATTCCAGCACTTTCAATTACATTGTTAGCCAGTTTTTTAAAAAGATTTTTAGAAGCTTTCAACTGTAGACTTTTGTCTTGTTGAATGAACTTCAGCTACACTAAATTTTAAGTAAATTTGTGATGACTGAGCAATATACATTGGCTGAGCTAGAATCCAATAACCCACAGGACAAATTAATTTTCAACAAAAAGGGCAGAAACCTCAAGTGCCATGAGTATATGGAATCTCAGTCTATCTCTCTGGAGCCATTTTTGCAAATCACTACAGCTATTCATAATCTAAATCAGTCTCCTTTAGCAGCAGAAAGATCTTTTTTCATGACAAAACAGAAGATGACATTCATTAGTGCCTAACTTGCATAAGCTACCTTAAATTTATTGGTGCTCTTATACTTATCTGGGTAAGAATTCCTTTGTCTACAGCTATAGGAAAATTCCGTATGTACTACTTAAAAATATAAATTGTCACTTTTATCAGAACTTTTGGCAGTTTACTTTATTTTAGAAGTAAAACTGGTGGTTAAGGTTTTAAGACTTCCAATGGGCGTTGTTTCAATCATGGTTAATATGCACCCAGGATAGCAATACCAATATAAGTGAGCAGTTGTACAAAAACCTAGAGAACTGTCGCTGGGTGCTAACTTTTCGCTGTGTTTAAGTACAGTTTATGACATTACAGAAGAATCCTACAGTGTGTGTGTGGATTTGGGGAGGAAAGCCAATCCTTGGCTGGTACAGATGGAGCAGTACAGCAGTGTCTGGTCAGTGTCTCCCTCTTCTCCTCTGATGGACTGCATCTTACATGGAAGATCTACCAAGCCACACCAATCTGCCTGCAAATCTCACATATCCTGCAGAAACTGCCGAGTCTGATTATTGTAAAAATGCACATTCGAGTCAGTATATAGGAAATAAAATATAAATGGATTTGCTTTAATGTGATGCAAGTGAATACTGGTCTTCATCCACCTGTTTTATAAACTCCATTTCCTGTCTTGGGTACAGACTGTTAATTCTTAAATGCCTTTAGTTTGATGTCTCCTACTTGGGATACAATTGCAAGAAGCACTGTGACCTAAAGATTGACATGCATGTCATTTGTACAAGTGCTCTTTATTTCTTCGTGCAGAAAAAAAAAGTGGAATAAGCATTTGTGGCAGCGTTTGTTAAACCCTGGATAAAGCTAAATGATCACAGAGTGACTCTAGCCTCAAAACATATGAGCTGATGCTTACTTTCAATTACAATTTCTTTTATAGGGTGGAAGGGGACAGGGATGTTTGAATGACAAATGAGACAGAAAATAACGAGAACGTGGGTTGCTATGTCTGCTCTTTCTTTTTGGGTAGAATGACTTTGTGTGCTAGGTCCCACACTGACAACAGATGATGGTAGCTCTACCTGAATGCAAGCAGCAGGTATCTGGGCTTCCGAAGGGAAAGTTGTGATCTCAGTCACAACGGCTGCTATCAAGCTCTAATGAGGACGTCTCATATGGCCAAAGGTCTGCTGTGTTGCTCAAAATATTTTCTGGATTCTATTTCTAATTCTCAATTTCCATTGCTGAGACCATCCCTGAAAAGTAACGAACTAGTCCCAGCCCAAGACAACAGAAGAAAGTTCACTCAGTGTTATTTTTTGGATCCATTGCAGGCTGTTGTAACAGGTAAATGAGATTAAAAAGCTACAGAAAACACTTCAGAATGAATGTTTTCTTCATGTATGCATACATATGTTTAAGGAATTGAGCTAAAAGAAAAAAAAAAAGACTAATCAAAGACTTCCTGCCAGGAGCATAATATCTGCCATGGTCATTCATGAGGTATAGATCCTACCTCAGATGGAGTGAGGTGTTCAGATTTAGGGGTGAAAAATGTAACAGAGATTTCGTGGTAGAGATGGGAAAAATCTTAGGAACTGTCTTGCATATTTTTTCCCCATATCTGAGCAAAAGCTTGGGTAAGCTCTTAGTTGGGGCCATCCTTCTTTGGAGAAAAGGCAGCTGTATAATTCCTCTTTATCGCCTGCATGCTGTTGCTGGCTCTGCCTCAGTGGATGACCTTGGCCAGTCATTTCCCTTCTATAAAGTGGCAATTGGGCTATTTACTCCCTTCCCATAGGTGCTAGGAAGCTTAATTAATATCTGCTTTGAGATCCTCAAAAGGTGCTAAAGTGTTACTATATACTAAAAACAATCTTTGTAGCTCTAAACACTGAAGAGAAAAGGGACTATTAACTAGCTGTCAGTTTGGAAGGTGCTGTATGAGTGCATAATGTACTGCCTCTGCTCCTGAAACCACAGACCTTTCTGCAGTGACCCTTCTGTATGAGTCTCATCTCCATGAAAGTTTTCCCATCCAAGTTCTTATTGTTAAAAAATGACTCTTCTCTTGCCTATTTTCTTCAGGAAGCTGGGGAGAACAAGAAGAAGAAGATCACTGTGTGGGAAGGAACACATCTTGCCTCATGAGATCCGAACACGGAACACAAATCCCATTGCAAGAGCTTCCCTGGTGCTCCTGCACACCTTGAATGTGCAATCTGCAGCTTTTTGTCAAAGCACATGATTTATGAAAGGCGGCTGGCTATGCACTGACGCCTCAGTGCAGCTTGGCTGTGCTGCGTGGGTCGCTCACCTGAAGAATGGGGATGACACTCATGGCTAGTCAAGAGAAGCTGCCAAGCATCCTTTGATATATAGTACAGAGATTGCAGTGCACAGGACTGGGAACAAGAACAAAATCAGGTTCTTGGCCTGCAGGCATTGCCATGTATCTCAAACCAACCTTCAAAGAAAGTTATTACACTGGAGTGAGAGCAGATCAAATCTGACGGTAATGTTTGCTTATTATTGTCAGTTTTCAACTGCAACCTAGGCTGTCTCTGAGCAATTTGTCCTTTGATTTGAAGCTGATTGAGAGCAGAACAAAACGGCTCAATTATAAAGTTACCATAGCCGGATCTTCTTAAAAGTGAGCCTAAAAATCTCAGCTCTGCCTCGTTCTGAGGAAATCTCTGCCATAATTTGGCAATCTTCTCAGGATGGTCCCGGGGGGATGGAATAAAAGAGGAAGGCAATTCACTGCCTTCGGGTTTCTGGGTTTTCAGCTTAAGCTGATGGTATTGAAATGAAGGTGAGATTTGTTTAAACCTCTTCTGGAGTGAAACAGCTATTTCCAGCTGCTGCCATATCACATCGTGGAGTGACAGTAGGGAGGGGGGAAGGAGCTGAGCTGCAGGTGGGATGAGAGGATCCATACAAAATTTCGGCATGTTCTCCTGGAGAAGAGCGAGATTGCTTGAAAACCGAAATTGGAGTGGTTCAAACTGCCCCCTTCAGAGCATATGTGAATCATATGCTTTAAAAACAACAACAAAGCTCTAAGAATGGAGGTTTAGACTCTGCAAACTCTGCTGTGTCCACGAAGCTACTGAGAAAACAACCCAACACACAAGGTAATCAAGCCATGAAAACTCAACACCTTGTCTCCTCCTTGCTGCAGCTCCATCAGATTTACCCAGGAGCTGGCTCAATCTTGCCAGCTTCAAACTAAATTAGAACCATTACATAGACAATTTTTCACTGGGTCATTTTCCTAAGAAACATGGAGAGAAGAATATCGGGCCTGGAGTAAACACCAAAAAAAAAAAAAAAATCACCTACAAACAGAAAGATCTGGCAAGAAGTACTACGTGTGGCCCAGGCTGCCTGTTACCTATGCATACATTTACTTTATTCCTCACACCCTCGTGTCCGAGCGTCTCGAACTTGACATCACACGTTAAACCTTTGCGGAGAGGTGAGTTTCTGCAAAAAGAGAAATAATCCTTTTAGGCGGTGACCATGGTTAATGCACATTTCCTTGCACTTCACAAGTGGTGAATGAGAGGTCTGATTAAACATGATACAAAAAGAGCTTGTAAGTAGCACTGTTTACTAACATTTCAATTTCTATGCCTCATTTATTAGACTTAGAATAAAAAGGTTAGAGGGGTGTTTGGGATTGTCTTTAACCTTGATGATATTTCCACTGAAGCAGCATAATGGCTCTTAATTGCTTAAGTGAAGAGAACATGTTGACATGTCCTTCTTTGTGCTTAAAGCTCTGTGCCTAAACCATTATGCTAATTCAAGCATTATATACACCAAAGTATTTATGGGACTGACACAAGTGATGTTGCAGGTAAAGGGCTGTGAAATGGTCTGTAAACAGAGAGAATTGATTCCAGGCCCAAAGCAATGCTGTTAAAGTCACAGACATTGAACAGCCAGCCCTACAATTTCTATCCAGATTGTCAAACTGGGTCAGACAGTGTCAGCAGGGCTGCCATTATAGATCAGATGGGTGGCTTTAATAATATGTAAACCAACCACATAAACGCAAATTAACATGGAGGCAATACGGACTTGACTGTGCCTTTTTTTTTTTTTTTTTCTTTTTTTTCTTTTTTTTTCCCCGTGCACAGCAGTTTTGGTCACAGAATGCTCAATTGTAACATTTGCTAAAACATTGAGGTGTTTAAATAAAAGAGAGAGAAAGGATATCAGCACCATGACTTGTAACTGCATCTCTCCTAGCCCAGAGAGCAGCGCTGTGATTTGAAGGGATCACAAAGGCTCTGTACACCACGGGAATCTCCGTACACAAATAAATAGTCCAGCTGGGGAGGGGGGTTGTTTGCCAGTTTATCAGCATATGCAGTTGTACAGATTTTTATTTTTTTTTTTGGTTTTCATCCTTGGGTCTAAGGTTAACAATACAGTTTTACATTCTGATAAAATAATTTATTATCTTACCTGTATTATTAATTGTAGCTCATAGATTTTCGGGAATTAATATAATTTTGAAAGTACAGTTTCCTTTAGGCCCTGTATGTAATTTATTATTTGCATTTCACCAATTTTAGATAGCAAAATGAGACTGATCAGCTCTTGTTTAATTTCTGATTTTATTTTTTTTAATTTTATTTTATTTTTGGCTCTGGAGTGCTAGACTAACGCTCTTCTGTTTAGTTTTTAAAATGAGGCAGAGTAATATCTTAATCTCTGTATCTCTCTTGTGCATTTACAGTAGACATTTCCTTGATTCTGATTTTTTTTTTTAATGTCATAAGAACAGTATAATTCATCCTAGATCTCCTCATATGTGCCATGTGAACCTCAGAGATGTTGTATATTCATAGTAGTTTGTAATTATTTAAATGACAGTAAATACAAAATAGCAGATTTCATACCAACTTTTTTTTTTTTAATGTAAGATATAAACATTTAACTTAAATTCACCTGAGTGTCCTTTGAAGGTGATCCTTCAATAAAAGAGATATTTGAGATTCAACAGACCTGATTATAGATGAAAATCTAGAAAAATAAGGAGTATGTGCAGCCTATTTCCTCATAGAAGGAAAGCTATGCCTTTTCCAGCAAAGCACACCTTGGTCACATGTAGGTATTTCCTTTTTTATACCCAGGAATATTTTTGATTTTATGTCACTTTATAGATTTCTGCATTGCTAAAAGAATTACAATGCAAAAAACATCACCTGGCCATGCTAGTCACAAAGATTTTGGAATTATCCATCTTAGACGAGCATGCCCATTGAGATTACCAACATACTCGCTGTATGCTGACATTTCTTGAATCAAATACATAATATCATAGCAAAATATTTGATGAACATGAAGAGATGTATTTTTTATTTTAGATGCTGGAATAGCAGTAGGTGCTGGGGCCATTTAACCTCAGGAATTCCCTAAGACATACTCCCTTCCCTAAGATGTGAAGCGAGTAATTTTACAATATTCAGAAAAGTCAAATAAATGGATGAAGGAGTTGTAATAACTGAAGGGCAGGGTAGTTACATTAGGCTACAGAAATAGGATGCAGGACCCAAAGTGGGATCAAAGCCTGCCTTTGTGAATTTGAGCAAGACACTTAATCTAAATCTCACTTTTCAATCTGTAAAATGGGGCTGACAGTATTTCCTTTCCTATTGAGATGGTTGGACAGACGGGGGGGATTGTCCTAGCTCTTCATCCAGTGGGTCCAGCTATTGCTACCACGCTAATATACATGGCTGGTAGCTACTTCCCACAAATATATATGTATCACCCGAAACAGCCTGTTTGGAAAATGGGTTTCCAAAATATGACAGAAGATATTTTTGTCTGTGTTTATTCTAAATGGCAGTATGTTCATTCCTTTTAAAATGCTGGTAGGCTATTTAAGATTTATACTTTTACTGAATGGTCACTATCAGGTTGAAAAATGATGTGTATTATCTTCAAAAGCAAATTTTCTTGCCCAGTATGATCAACAGCCCTTGAACTGTAAGAATTCTACCAGACTAAAATATGTTGCAACATTTCTTTAAGTTACTTGCTTTCTGTTTTTCTCTCACCTTGGGAAATGAAAACACAATAGTCTGCCTCACATTCGCTTCTCAACATTTTGAATTTGAAGGGGTTTCAGCTTTTCTTGCCAGTAAAAGATGTTAAATGGGGAAATGAAGACTCCTACAAAACAAAACAACACTAAAATGAGTTTGATCCTTTAAAAACAGCCCATGGTGATTAATTCAGGTCAGATTTAGAACAAAACAAAGCAAAACAAGTCAAAACAAAACATTAATTTAATTGTCTGATCTGCTACTTATGATAACATGAGGTACTATGGTAATGTGTCGTGACCAATCAGTAAGGTCTGCTGTTTCCTTTTTTTTAATTGCACTTTAGTTGAAGGTAATAATCTTGCACAATAAAAAAATAAATAAAAAAAAATCCTGAGTGCTGAGATTTGCATTTGGTGAGCTTTGGGGAGGCTTAAAGGTCCAGCCACTGTCCCACTGGATTTTATTTCCTGAATGAATAACTTGGAGGAAAACACTTTGGTCTAGGAGATGAATGAGACACATCTGACGGATGAAGGGAGAACTGAATGTTTGCAAAAATCTCTCCAGCTGATCTATGGATTCACCACCTAAAAGGGGAACTCAGGAGAAAAGGGTTCTGGGGAGACTGTGAGCAACACCTCCACCTTCCCCTGATGCTGCCTCGATGGAGAAACATCTACATTTCAGTCAAGGGCCATTAGTGTGCAGACAAAACCAGGTATTCCCAGGCCACATGGGCTCCTGCTGGAAGCTGAACATTTTCCCAGCCCCACGGCACTGACCCCAGAGGGCTGGGTCTCCCCAGAGCCCCCAGACTCACCCCATTAACTCAGCTCCTCCATAAACTGCTTCCTCCAGCCCTAGAGACCTGTGTTCCTTTCCATCAGCCACCTGGCAAAAGCAGGGAGAATTTATGGCTGATGTC